CAGCCCTGGTGGACGTGGGAGACCGAGGGCTGGAGGAGGGTGGGCCAGGCTCTCGGGTGACTGGAGAGCAGGCGCTGTGCAGAGGGTGTGGTGGGAGCGAGGAGCGTGCAGCACGCGGGCACAGGGAGGGCGTCCATGCCAGTGAGGCCCAGGAGCACTCCTAGGACACATCTCCATCCCACCCTGAGCCCCGGGGCCTCTGGAGTCCGTCCCTACGCTCTCCTCGGAGCCCAGAATCTCTCTCCCTGGCCGGTGAGTGTGTGTGACGTGTGTAGCAGGCACTGGGGCTGGGCAGACAGGCCGCAGGAAGGGAGCAAAGGCCACTCCTCTGGGCACAGAGGTGTGGCCCATGGCTGTGCCCGTGCTGGCCTGGTGGGGGATCCTCCTACTCCCTCCCCCAGACGCCACACACACATCCTACTGCTTAGCCTCCAACGAAGCAGCCTCTGACACACACACGCTCACACTCACACACACACACCAAGATGTGCAGATGCGTCAGGACTCATTCAACGGCCCAGTGTGCAGGGGTGTGGGGAGAGGGGCTGGGACAGGCCATTCACACCAGTCCTGTCGCAGTCCTCCAGCCCTGGGTCCTCAGCATGTGCCCTGCGTGAGCCCGCCGCAGTTATGCAGACAGGCACGCCAAGGGCAGGGCTGTCCACGCCAGCCACAGGGCCGCCCAACCATGTGCTGACGCACCGCCTTACCCGGGCAGCCAGCCCTCGGCGTCTCTGCCTCTGCTCCGGCTCCCACGGGAGGCAGGTGGCCCTGGCAAGGCCCCCGGGCACACGTGGCAGGCTTGCTCAGGACCACCCCCACGCGGGACACCCACAGCTGAAAAGCCACAGGGCACGGGCCCTGGGGACTCACTTGGACTTGTTGATGGCCCTCCGGAGCTTCCTCTCCAGCTGCCGCATGCGGCCCATGGCGGCGTTGTACCGGGCTGCCGTCTCCTTGTGCACCAGCTCGCTTCTGGTCTTCGTCTGCTCCGCCTCCATGACCTTGGGACAACACGGGGGCAAGGGGTCAGCCAGGCACGCCTGCTCCAGCGTCACTCACCGCATGTCTAAGGTTCTACGAGGAGGTCGGGTGGAGTAAGAACGAGCTACACGGAGGGCCAGTGAGGGCCACAGGGAAGCCCAGGGCTCTGCGACGCTGCCCCACGGAGAGGTCGGGTGCCCAGGTTCCCAGGTTCCTGGGACGACCGGGAGCTGAGGCTGGGGGCTGGGGGTGGTCACGGCGTCGGCACCCCGCTGGGGAGTGCTTGCTCACGCCCTCTCACTCACTGAAGAAAGGAAGAAATACACTTTTTAAAAAAATTATTTATCTTAATTTCTTTTTATTTATCCATTCATTTATTTTCATTTGACCAGAGAGAGACAGAGAGAGAGAGGAAAAGTGAGAAAGCAAGCTACCAGGGCCGGGACTTGAACCACAGGCAGCCATGTGGGAGTTTCCAGCACCTTAACCATCATGCCACCTGCTGCCCCCAGATTTTTTAAAAGAATTATTTATTTTAATTTATTCATTCATTTATTTTAATTTGACCAGAGAGAGACACAGAGAGAGAAAGGGGGGTGGGGGGACAATAAAGCAAGGAAATACCCTTTTTTAAAAACAGAAGGACCAGCTGATGGTATAATGGTTATGTCGTTGGACTCCCACACAGTCAACTATGGTTCAAGTCCCAGACCCGGTGGCTTAAAACCCACACTGGGTGCATGGGTGTGCGTGCCCAAGATCCAGAGAGGAGAACAGAGGAGAAGGGAGTGTGGCGTGGTCATCCCCCCGGGGGGTGACTTCTCACTTTCTGTTTCTGTCTCTCTGGCGAGTACATGTGCCCTACAGCAAAAATCTCTCTCAAAATAAAAAAATAAAAATAAATCGAAGAAGAAGGAGAAACTAAATATTAGAATTGCTTTCCCCCCATTACCTATTTCGGAGAAAGCCTTGTTGGGAAAGCTTAAATAGCCCGTTGGCTGTAATAACAACTGAGAAAAGAAAGGGAAAACAAGTATTTTAAATATTCTGACTCAGGGCCAACAAATGGCATTGTGATTGGGACACTAGACTCCCACACGACTCATATGGTTCAAGTCCCAGGCCTGGCGACTTGAAAATCACACCAAGCTTGTGTGTGTGTGTGTGTGCCCCAAATCCCAGGAGGACGGAGGAGGGATGGCAGCGCGGCCATCCCCTGGGGGGCTGATTTCTCACTTTCCCTCTCACTGTCTCTCTCTGGCAAGCACACCCACCCTCAGGCAAAAACCTCTTAAAAAAAAATAATAATTCAGATCAGATTTTGAGCATCACAGAAACTTGTGACCAGGGGACCAATCAGAGTTCAGGCAAGAGATTCTAGTAGGAACATTTTGTTAACCGAGTTAACAAAGATAACAGAGTTAACTGGGTTAACAGAATGAGTTAAACACTAACAGGTCTGGGACCAGCAGATGGTGTGATGGTTACATTGCTGGACTCCCACGTACTGATTTAGATCTCTCTTTGTCTCTGTCTCTCCAGCAAGTGCATGCACCCCATAGCAAAACTCTAAAAAAAAAAAAAAAAAAAAAGACATCCAAACATATTTTGTCCATTTTTAAAGAATAAATGGTGTGGCCAGCAGGTAAGCGTGGTGGTTAAGGCACTGGACTCCCACGTGGCCAACCGCAGGTCAAGTCCCAGACCTGGTGGCTTGTTTTCTCACCTTCCCTTTCCCTCTCTGTCTCTCTCTGGCCAAATTAAATAATAATAATAATAAATTAAATTAACAATTCTTTTTTGTAAAAAAGAATAAATAAGAGAGGAGGGAAGGCAGGTATAGACACCGGAGACTTGGAGGGGGTGGGGGGAGAAAGGAAGAATCGCTGAGCAGACACAGACGACGACGTTCTTCCGGAACTCCCCGCCAGGACTCACGCACCGCACGCATGCTCTGAGCAACCCCGTGTGCATAGAGATGTGCAGGAAATCATGAAATGTTTCTAACCGGGAGAAAAGAACTAATTCCTGAAGGGAGTTCTTGCAGGCCGGTACAGTCCGCCCTCGCAGGCGGAGGGGGGCACACTCAAGAGCTGGGTCTTCCGCGCATTTCTCAGAAGAAGCGACTCTGCGCTTTGTAGAACCAGCCCTGGCCTGTACGTCTCCGAGCTCTCCCACCTGCCCTTGCTGTCCCAGAGCTGACTCGGGAGAGCTGTGCGGCCGCGTGGGGCCCACGAGGGGGCAGCAGCCTCGCGGCCACACCGA